CTGTTAGATAGATAGAGATAAGTATTGATTTGGGTGAAGAGAAGGGCAATGTACCAAATGTGAGTGACCAATATGACAGCATTGAGGATGAGAAAAACAGAGAGAGGTACATGGGAAGTACAGACAACAAAGATGAACTCTTTTGCACATACAGTACTCCATTGTCAGTGAAGACAAACATGGGTATATGGGTGGATAGATGGGTGGACAGGCTGAACTATTAAGTATGTCTATGAAATGGGGTGTATCCAAGAACATGTATAGGGTTGGCAGACAATTGTCCTATAAGTTTATGTGAATGATCAGAATTCCCAGGTGTACAGTAGAGCTCACAAGGGGCAAGGTTGTGGTCACTGCTTGGTAACAGCCAGCTAAAGAGAGACTGAGTAGTTGAACCTGTGGGCTTGAGACCATAGTCGCAGGAGACATCAAGCTCAATTGGCATAACATTCTATAGAAAACATTGTTCCACCTGCTACTTTGGCGAGTAGCGACAGGGATCTTAAAAACTAGCAAGCTGCCATCTAGATACAACAATGGGTCTCTCCTCATCCAGAGCAAAGAAGAATGAAGAAAACCAAAATTCATGGAAACAGTTAGTCCTAGCGACTGGTACACCATCCGATCTGCAGCCTATACAACTATGAGACCAGAAGAACTAGATGGTGCCCGGCTACCACTGTCATCCACTTGGAAGGGGATCTATGTAGGAGATCCTTGATAGAGAGGGAGAACAATGTGGAACAAAACTCAAAATCATTTGCAGAAAAAAAAAGGGGGGGGGGACCAGGTTTGCTGGTCCGATAGAGCCTGGTGGAACCACTGAGACGATGGCCCCTAGCTGCCCTTCAGGTCTGGAATTGAACGCATACCCATGGTTTCCAGCCAAACAAAAGGCAGGCATATGAGTTGAATATTTACCTCAGGTAGATACACTCCTTGGAGAGAACACCCGTGGGAGAAAGAAGGGCTGCTTATGCACAGGGAGACAGCTCAGGGGGCAGGAGTGCATGGAGGGATGGACACTGGGAAGGGGTAACTGTGGGGAGGAAGTGGAAGGGGAGCTGTTGCATTGTGGTAAACTGTGGTCAATGTCATGAGACAAAGCATATGCAAACTGCTGTATGGAAAGCGAATCTGCTCTGTAAATCTTCACCCAAATCACACACAAAAAAAAAAAGGTGATCCCACAGAATGTGGAAATTATCGAACAATGTCATTAATGTTGCATGCAAGTAAAATCTTACTCAAGAAAATTCAAAAACAGTTGCAGCAGTATATTGACAGAGACCTGCCAGAAATGCAAGCTGGATTCAGAAGAGGACGTGGAATGAGGAATATCATTGCTGATGTCAGATGGATCTTGGCTCAAAGCAAAGAATGTTTACCAGAAAGATGTTTACTGTGTTTTATTGACTATACAAAAGCATTTGATTGTGTGGATTGTAACAAATTATGGGTGACATTGAGAAGAATGGGAATTCCAGAACACTTAATTGTTCTCATGAGGAACCTGTACATAGACCAGGAAGCTGTCCTTCTAATAGAACAAGGGGACACTGCATGGTTTAAAATCAAGAAGGGAGTGTTTCAGGGTTGTATCCTTTCACCACACTTATTCAATCTGTATGCTAAGGAAATAATCCGAGAAGTTGGACTATATGAAGAGGAGAACATGGCATCAGGTTTGGAGGAAAAATCATTAACAACCTGTGATATGCTGACAACACAACTTTGCTTGCTGAAAGTGAGGATGACTTGAAGCACTTACTGATGAAGATTGCAGACTACAGTCTGCAGTATGGATTACATCTCAATATAAAGAAAACAAAAATCCTCACAACTGGGCCTATAAGCAGCATCACGATAAATGGAGAAAAGATTGAAGTTGTCAAAGACTTCACATTGCTTGGTTCTACAATCGACACCAATGGAAGCAGCAATCAGGACATCAGATGATGTATAGCACTGGGCAAATCGGCTGCAAAGGAGCGCTTTCAAGTGCTGAAGAGCAAATATGTCTCCTTGAGGACTAAGGTGTGCCTGACACAAGCCATGGCATTTTCAGTCACCTCATATGCATGTGAGAGCTGGACAATGAAAAAGGAAGACTGAAGAGGACTTGATGTTTTTGAGTTGTGCTGGCGAAGAATGCTGAAAGTACCATGGACTCCTAAAAGAACAAATCTGTCCTGGAGGAAGTGCAGCCAGAATGCTCCTTGGAAATGAGAATGGCCAGACTTCATCTCACCTACTTTGGTCATGTTGTCAGAAGGGACCATTACCTGGAGAAGGATTTCATGATTGGTAAGGTGGACGGTCAACGAAAGAGGGGAAGGCCCTCAATAAGAGGGACTGACACGATGGCTGCGGCGATGGTCTCAAATATAGCAAGGATTGTGGAGCTGGCACAGGACCAGGCAGTGTTTAGCTCTGCAGTGCATGGGGTTGCTATGAGTCAGAGATGACTCAACAGCACCTAACAACAACAACTGCTATTATCACTCCCAATTTACAGATGAGGACACTGAGGCTCTGAGAGGTTAGCTTACCCAAGACAACAGAGGTAGTGAGTAGCACAGCCAGGAATGGAAAATACATTTCCCTGATTCCAGTTCCTGCCTTCTTTGCTCTGACCCAGCACCACTTTTGGTCACAGGTTGGGGCCAAAGATATCAGATTGATAGAACTTGCTCTTCCAATGTGGTCCTGGCCTCTTCCCAGCAGCTTTGTTGGGCAGTGGGAAGATTTCAGGAATATAATTTGAATGATAGATCTTTAGGAAATTGTTTAGGAAGCAGTGACCTGGGAAGCGGAATTTTGTGTTGTGGTTTAAGGGTAAAATGAAGACGTCTCATTAGGAAGCTGGCTGACAGTTTAAACGGGGCTTCAAGATTTTTATCTTGGTGAAATCACCCCAATTTAGGATCCACTCAGTTATTTAAGAACTTAGTTCTGTTCATTTTCAGAGATTCTAGATAATCAGTCTCTCAGGCATAGGCTCAATTATTCAACTCACAGGAGGCTGATAGATAAACCAGCACATCACAACCAGAACTTAATCATTTATCCAGTGTATTCCTTCCCTAGGAAGAAAGGTGAAATTAGTAATGAGAAAGTTGGTTGGTGATCACAGAATCAGACAAAAGGCAGTGGTTATTTCTGGTGAGGTTGGATAATAGCATTCCTATTCAGGGTAAGACACACCCTCTCAAGTAGATTCAATAAACAAGTTATTGGATGCCCGCTATGAGCTCAGCACTGGGAATACAGAGATGAAAAAGACAAACCTCCATCATCAAGTTACCACCTAGTGAAGGCAACAGCTGAGTGCCTATTACTGCACATTGGGATAAGTGCTGTGATCAAAGGAAGCTCAGTTGGTAAGAGACCCCATAGCATCCCTTGGCATGTGCTTTCTTCATCCATAAACCTGCCAGACCCTCACTTTTCCTGTGCTTCTAACTGAGCCTTTATGGCATTTTTTGTTACTGAGTTGCTTCCATATGTATATATATACCCACACACAGACACATACATACACATATATGCATATTAATAATTGTAAATATATAGGTAACAAAACTGCTATTTAAACAGTCTTCACATGTACAATTCAGTGACATTAAATATGTTCACCATCTTGTTTAATCATCTTCACTAAGTGTTCCCCAAGTTTTCCATCATCCTTAACAGTAGCTCAGTGTCTCCTAGGTATTGTGTCTTCCTTTCTTCATTGTATTTTGTTGGCACAGAGTTTGACTGATGTCAGCACTTGCTCATCCTGCTTTTTGTCCTTTGTAGGAAGACTTTGCTAAGCACCTTATTTTGAGATCCATGGGACCTGCAAATAAAATGGATATATATCTGTGCCTTTATCAAATATGAAATCAAATTTACATAATTCTCAAACCAAACTACTGCTGCTGTGTCAATTCCGACTCATAGCAACCCTAAAGGACAGAGGGGAACTGCCCCATAGGGTTTCCAAGGCTGTAAAATTTTACAGCAGCAGACTGTCCAATCTTTCTCTCACAGAGAAGCTGGTGTGTTCTAACTGCTGCGTTTTCAGTTAGCAGCCAAACACTTAACCACTGAGTAACCAGGCCACCTTTGACATGATTTTGTTTTTTTCTTTTTCTTTTTAGAGCTTGTTTTACATTCAACGTTATGTGTACATTCAGTTTCACTCCCTATTTACCATTGACATACTTTTGGAGGTGTAAATGATCCCCTGAGTTACCGGGAACAAACACTAATCAATATTAATAGTCTTAATTCCATCAAAATTAGTTTATTAATCTTTTCTTTTTTCTCTTACATTGTGCAGGTGAGCTTTAATCCCCAGGATAACACTCAAGTTTGTGTCACTGGAAATGGGATTTTAAAACTTCTCCGTTTTGCTGAGGGAACCCTGAAGCAAACCAATTTTCAGAGGGGAGAACCCCAAAACTATCTGTCTCATGCATGGGTGTCTGATGACAAGATTGTCGTTGGCACTAATACAGGCAGACTCTTCCTCTTTGAATCCGGAGATCAACGCTGGGAGACAAATATAATGATGAAGGAGCACAGCAGTGATACGAAGCCCCTGGATGTGATCCACGAATCGGAGAGGTGATGGGGCCCCCAGGCTGGTTCTCTCATAAATAGAGACTCATTGTACTAACAGCATTGTACAGAAAATAGCATTCTTTAAAAATCACCTTGAACTCCTCTACCTTAAAAGTCAACTGTTTTCATTTTTGTTCTTCCTTTCTAGTGTTTGTCTATATTCAAGCCCAAATTTTACGGTCATGATCATAGCCCAGATACAATTCTTTTCATTTTTACCTAACTGTTCTGGTTACCTAGTGCTGCTCTGACAGGAATATACCACAAATAGGATGGCTTGAACAAACAGGAGTTTATTCTCTTAAGTTTGGAGGCTTTAAATCCAAGTTCAAAGTGCCAGGCTCTCGGGGCTAGGTGAAAGCCCCCCAACCTTGGACTTCAGCTCTGCCTCTTGCTCCCAGCCCACTGAAGCTAGAGGCTTTTCTTCACTCAGGCAGCTGCTGGCTACTGAGACTGACAAGCCCCAGGTTGACAAGTAAAAAGGTATAGTCCCAATGTTACCAAACCACACGGCAGGCCATTAATTCAAGTCCATTGGAAGTCCCAAGGTCGGCTGAGCATGGCAGGCCACTGAGCAATGACACGGCTACATGCAGGATTCAAGCATGCCATATGCTAGAGACTGTTCCCCAAGGCTTCTCTTTATATACAGGAAGCAGACCATATCCCTAAGGCAGCTACTCAGCTGCTCACAGTAGATTCC